GATCCCACGGGCCAGTTGAGTGAGAGAGATGGTGGGGGGCCGCGGAGGGGTGCAAGGGCGCAGCGGGTGCGCCCCAACCACCAGGTGGCGGCGCCGATGGCTCCTCCGCCACCGGTGCCAGTGTCGCAACTGCCAGTGACCGAGCGGGGATCGCCAGAGGCACATGCGGAGATGGTTCGCGTGGTGGAGGAGCGATTTCCGAACCGCGACAACTGGCTAACGATCTTCATCGAGGTCATCCAGCACACGACGTTCGAGGAACGCACGCGGTTTGCCGGCGACGATGGAGGGATGGACTACGAGCTCATCTTCTGGGCCATCCAGGAGGCGGAGTCAGCGAATCCGAGGCAGGCGGCAAAGTGGGCGAGATTCAGGACAAGGAATCCGTCGCGACTCAACATCCGGCCACCGTCGGTGGTGCAGATCGCCAGCATCCCCCCGGAGTACCTGCCGCCGGGGACCGTCCTGCCACGGGTCCCCTGAATCGTGGGATGCCCGGCGTGCACGCCCCGCAGGGCCTCTCCAACCTGCGGGCGCGGCGTGGGAGGAGCGAGGCGCGCTTCCTCAACCTTCCACCATGGCCGGGCGACCGCGGGGAGATACCACATCTCCCTGATAAGGTGAGGAAATCCAGACCCAATTTGCATGTTTGTTCGAGATCTGATAATGATTTGGAGTTGAATTGAGTGTTAAGGAAGATAGGGTTGTCCCTTGTGAGAATTGGTGTGAATCTACTTCTATTTTCCCTGAATCAGTGAGAGATTCTTATGAATCTGTGATTCCGGCGAGCCAGTCCACCGCCGACGAGCTCGCTTTTGCGGGAGGAGCGGGACTGGTTTAGGACCGATCCCTCAACCACCACCGTTGATTTCGGGTTGTGTGGTTGGGAAGAAAACGTGCCGTAAGAATACGCTTTCTACCTCTGTTAGCGGGGACGGGGAGGAAGTGACGGAGTTCTATGGCCATCTATGGGTGGTTCCCTCCCCCAGCCGCCGCCAGCGCCTACAAAAAGAGAAGCGGTCACCGCCGAACCCTAGCTTTGCGATTCCCAAATTGTTTTGGGTGAGAAAAGATCTATTTAGGGATAGAAATTTCTCTGCTCAAGATTGTTTCCCTATTCGGGCAGTGGGTAGATTTGATCCGACTCCTACCATCTTTAAAATTTCCACCGAGAAGCTAGATTTTCCTAGATTGTTTGTTGAGGTGGTCAAGGGAGGGATGGAGCGAGGGCAGGGAGGGCAGCGGCAACGCCGTCCACCGCCAGGGAAGAAGTCGGCGCCTCAGGATGGGAAAGCCACGGGCCCGCCGGCCGGAGGTGCGGCTATGGTGGCAGGTGCTGTCAAGCAGGGGCAGCAACCCCCCAAGCAGGCGTCGCGGGGGATCCAACAGCAGCAAGTAGCCGATGCGACAGTCCCAGCTCCAATTCCTCCTCCTCCTGTTGTTATAGTTCAAGCACTGGATCCCAGGTACAAAGACATGATCTGCTTTAACTGTAGCTGGCCAGGGCATTATGTGGGGAACTGCATTGAGCCGAAGAAATGCTTTATTTGCATGGGAGGCCATAACGTCAATAACTGTGCTGCCTGGGCGAAACCACACCCTACAGCGATGTACTTGGTAGTGCAGCAGCTGGTCTAGGTTTTTACCACATTGATGTTCCTACTGCATCAGAACTGAACTGGCTCAACTACAAGAACTGTGCAGTTCTCAAAATTGTGAAGGGTGAGGTTTCTGCGTCAGAGTTACTGATTCAGCTCAATGGGAATTTTTTGTAAAAATAAGGAATGGCCTTGGCATATTAGGGACTTGGGAGAGAAGAAATTCTTGCTGAGATTTCCACCTTGGAAGAATGTGGAAGACCTGATTGAGTTTCCTGCATTTGAGCTCCCAATTGATGGTGTTTCTGTCAAGATCTGTGAATGGGTTGGGATGTTGGATGAATTTGGAGGACTTACTGAGGCCTGGGTTCAAATTGAAGGGATTCCTCCAAAGTGGTGTGCCTAGAAGGTGTTTGCACAGATTACAGCTTGCTTAGGAATCCTGGTTGATGTAGACTGGAATGGTATATTCAAGAGTTTTTATGAGAATATCAGAGTGAAAGTGGCTTGTAGAGACCCCAGGAAAATCCCTTTTGAGAGGTTAGTGGAAATGAAAAGGAAGCTATACATTCTGTTCTTCACTGTTGAGGGTTTTGAACAACTGGGGGAGGATTCTAATGGAGATGATCTAGACCCAGATGTTGACAGTATGGAGAAAGAGGAAGAAGATAACAATGAAGACATGCCTAGCAAGGATAAAACTCAGGAAGAAGACATGGGGGAACGTATTGATGAGCTGGACAAGGCTAATTTTCCTTCCAAGAATAATCTGGCTACAAGCTCTAGTCAGCCAAAATCACAGAGAACTGCTTCTGCAGTGGATTTTCACCCTCCCAACATGCTGGACACAATTCATGAGGACTTTGTGGAAGAAATTAGATGCAAAACTCCTGAGAAGAGGGAAGAGGCAGAAAGTGAAAAATCCACACCTACAAAAACCTTTTCTTCTGGAAGACCTGATTCCTTGTCAGCACATATGGAATATTGCTCTACACAACTAAGCAAGTTTGAAATGGCTGAGACTGATGAAGAAGAGGAAGAATTAGTGGATGAAATGCAATGTTTACCTGATGATTTGGCTTTGGCGATGGGATCTGTCAAGAGATCCTTACTGGAAATTCTGGAGAGCGTGGAATCGGTGTAGAAGAAAAAACCAAGTGTCAAAAACTCTCCTGTTTGGGGGGCAGTTCTCACAAAAAAACCAAATACCAGGAATCATGGGGACGTTAGGATCAAGGACAAAGCAGTTGCGTACATGAAGAAGAAGAATCTGGAAATTCCTACTACCTTCAAAGGTAAATCGTTTGCTGTCCTTAACCCTGATGTTCTGATTTCTAACACTAGTAAAATTGATTTATGCATTGGGAATAACATTGAAGAACAAATAGATATTGTCATGGATATGATAGATGAGGAGAAAAACCGTTGCCTTAAGTTTGCGGATGATAATCCAGAGATTGTTCTCCTTGAGAATCTTGACTTAGAAATAGGGGGTGATGAGATTGAATCTAATAACAACGACCTTCACATTAATGGCTCAGATGGCACTGCTGGACCATTAATGGAAAGCCCTGTCTTGAACACAAAAAAAAGCCTTGTGGCTTGTCGCACCCGTTTAAGGTTAAATGATAGGGGCCTTTTGGAACATTCGGGGAATGGGCCAAACTGGGAAAAATCAGTGCCTAAGTGACTTTATTAATAATAATCGTCTGGATTTTGTGTGTTTCTTTGAAACTAAGAAAGAAAATATTGATATTTGTGTGCTTAGATACATTTCTGGAAAGGAGGATTTCGTTTGGCATTTTTTACCGGCTGTGAACACTGCTGGGGGGATCCTTGTGGGTCTCAAGAGCTATTTATTTGAGGTGATAGGTTTTATTAATAAAGAGTTTTGTATTGTGGCTACGGTTAAGAATAAATGTGATGGTTTTATTTGGCACTTAGTGACTGTTTATGGCACTTCTTACAATGATAAGAAGCTTGAGTTCATTGCTGAACTACATGATACTATGGATACCCTCACTTACCCAGTCTTGGTGGGAGGGGATTTCAACTTGGTCAGATCGGCTGACGACAAAAATAATGGGATTATTAATAACCAGTTTTCCTACTTGTTTAATGATTGGATCAATAAATGGTCCCTTGTGGAGATCAAGAGCGACAATAGGAAATTTACTTGGAGTAATAATCAGAATAATCCTATTTTCGCTACTATAGATAGGGTTTTTGCTTCGGGTTCTTGGGATACCAAATTTCCTCTGTCTGTTGTGATAGCTTTCCCACGTGTTGGGAGTGATCATGCCCCTATGGTTATTGACACGGGTGTGCGGAGGGTTACCTCCCCCAAGATATTCCAGTTCGAAAAGTGGTGGCTTGACCAACCTGATTTCAAAGATCTAGTGCGCAAGATTTGGAACACCCCCGTCCCTGGCAGGACGGCCATAGATATCTGGTTGAATAAAAGTAGACTATTTAGGAAGAAAGTTAAACGCTGGAGCATTAATATAGAGGCATGTATTAAGAAGAGGAAGAGAGAGCTTCTGCTCGAATTTGATATCCTTGATGTCTTTTCGGAAAGGAATCAAGTCAATGAAGTGGATAGACATAGGATGGAAGAGATTAGAAATGAGCTTAATAGTATTTGGAGTAAAGAAGAAACTGCTTTCTGGCAGCGGTCCAGAGATTGTAAGATTGTAGATGGTGACAAGAACAGTGC